AGTCTTGCACTGCAATATAGACACTGCTTTTCTGTTATTCATTACACAACTTCACTGACTCCCATACATTCTCCCAGTCCCATTATTTGTGGCTCTCTGTGAGAGGTTGCGAAACCTCTTAGAGAAATCTATAGGATTTCCCTCCCAGTGTCACCCATCTATATTGTGAGGAACCATCAGTGCAAGAGCATTTTGTCTCACCATATTTCCTGGGCACGGAGAACGATCTCATTTGAGTTCCTACTGTCAGAAAGCCAACTGATCTATTTAACTGGCCAGGACATGAGCCACTTCTACCATTCTGATTCAGCCCACACCTCTTCATGTTGAATATCAGCCTGAGTCTGCCACCTGATTCACTAGAATAGAAAGCAGGGCAGAGGTCCCTGGCCTCTCTTTTCCTTGCTCAGGTTCATGTGTTCCTCCTCCTTTCTTCCCTTCCCTTCTTTCACTAATAAACCCTGGATTGGGGCTGAAGCTCTCCCATCACCTCTCCTGTCATACTCTGTCAGGAAGACATTGGGCATCACCACCTTCTCAGGCACACCATGTGTCTCTAAAACTGTCATAAGACACAGCAATACCCACCAGGGTGCCCTGAATAACTTGTGGGGCTGGACGTTCACTGCAAGGATGAGCAAGAGACCACTTCATTGTTATGTGGCTTTACCTTGAAATTACTTATGCCCTGGCTGAGGAACTCTTGGCATCAAACTGTTCTCAACGTCACTAAGGAACAGCTGGGGTTGGGGAATGTTACTTCTGGTTCCTATGCTCTGATCGTTTGTATGATTTTATATCAAGCAGACATTGAGGGACAAACAACCACAGACTGTGCTGGAACCAGAGTGGATCAGGCAGAGACGCTCAGCACCCAGGCCCCTGCTCTGCTCAGAGTTTGTGCTCAGCTCCCCCTGCAGTCCCCGTCACTGTGTCATTCATGGCACAGTAATACACAGCTGAATCTGACGCTTGCACTGAGCCTTTCTCCAAGTGGAAGGATTTGGATTTGCTGTCGAGGGTGGCTTCAAAACCTTTGTTGTGTTTTGTGTCCTTGTCCCTCGAGGCTTTCAGGAGGAGTTCTGGACCTTTCCCAGGATACTGGACATACCAAAAAAGAGTGGGGGACCATGTTGTTGAAAAAGTACAGTTCACCGTCAGGGAAGCCTTTTCTGAGAGGGTCACTTGGTCCTCCGTCTGGGTCACTGAGTCTCCATGGGTTTGTCCTGAGGAAAAAGAAAAGAGACCTTGTCACCTTGGGCATAAAGTTCTTGGATAAAATTATAGTTAAATGTTTTGCTGACACAATGCAAAAAAAGAATCCAAGTTTTAAGAGGCATTTTACTTACCAAGCATTAAGAGTACCACAGTCACGAAGCCTGGAGAACACTTCATCTCTGGAGTGTCACCTAAATAATGTTCTTCATACTTACCATGAAGAAACATTGGAGTGACAGAGAAATGATCAGTGGAAGCCCACATTTCACACAGGAAATGTGATTGTGGTAGGAAGCTGCACCCCCTGGTGGACAGGGACTGAAATGCGTGCATGTTGGCCAGAGGCCTCCCAAAGTCAGCAACTGTTTCATCCCTGACTTCCTGAGGCACATGTCAGTGTTCAGGGTGGCCCCATGGAAGTCTGAACAACAGCAATCCTCACCTTTCAGGTCTATTTGTTCTTAAGACACTACCTGATATGGAAGTTCTTTAACACAGCATCCCAGGGAATTTCTGTAGCTGGGAAGATAACAATCTTCTAAAGGATTTTTACTGCAGTACTTCATATTCTCATGTATCCATGTGGGCCAGCCTAAAACCCACTGACTGCCAGAAAAGGGGCTGGGGTTGAACACAGAAAACGTAATAGGAAGCCAGGTCTTTGCTGGTGATTCTGTGTTTTTGGTACTGTGCCCCATTATTGAGAACTGTGACTGTAATTTTTTAAGCACTCACTAAATATTTGTTAAATTTAACAAAAATAATGAACAAATGGCCTTTAATTGATATACAGTATTTACTGGGTCCAAAATAATACCAATTGCAAGGAATACTATCTTTTTAATAAAGGTTTTCAGAAGAAAATTACACTATTTTATAGTCAATAATTTTAATAGTCAAATATTCCAGAAAATCAGAATCATTCAATGGTGGAATATATGAATTCTAGACAGAAGATACATCATAAATGAAGTTGAATCCCACAGAATGATCTCAGATTCTTTTTTAAAAAAGATTTATCTATTTATTTGAGAGAGAGAGAGGAGAGAGCGAGGGGAGGGGCAAAGGGAGAGGGAGAGGGTACGCAGACTCCACGCTTGCAGCCTGATGCAGGACTCGATCTCACGACCCTGAGATCATAACTTGAACCAAAACCAAGAGTTGGGGGGCACCTGGGTGGCTCAGTCGGTTAAGCATCTGCCTTCAGCTCATGTCATGATCCCAGGGTCCTGGGATCGAGCCACGCATCAGGCTCCCTGATCTGTGATTATTATCTTATGCTCTCCTTGTTCTGTTGACTCCAACATAAGGTGACTATTTTATGTGAATCAGGCAACAAATAATAATCATATACTCTTAACAAGCTTAGCCTCAAGGATGCTTTCTTTCTTTTTTTAAAAAGATTTTATTTATTATTTGAGGGAGAAAGAAGGAACAGGGGGAGGGAGAGGGAGAAGCAGACTCCCCGCTGAGCAGGGAGCCCAACTTGGGGCTCAATCCCAGGACCCCAGGATCATGACCTGAGCCGAAGGCAGCTGCTTAACCAACTGAGCCACCCAGGCATCCCTCAAGGATGATTTCTATTACCATCCATCTGTCACATTTTGTTCCCAAACGTTAATCAAATAATTTTTTCCACAAGGTAAGGAATCAGGATCATCAGGATAAAGTTCTGGAGAGGAGCATATCCTCTGTAAAGCCCTGTAAACATTTATCTCTATACCTGAAGATGAAAGCTCAGAAGACTGTTTCCTGGAGGCCCCTCTCTGCACATTCAAGTTGAGGAGCTTCATGACTCCAGAACCAACATTGGAAAGTCTTCCCAGATGCAGATTGCAGTAAGAAATTCAGGCCTGGAAAAATTTGGGTTCACGTGTCCCTTCCCTTCTCCTCCACCTTTCAAATCACACTGTTAGATCCTGCCTCAAAAGGAATTCAGACCAAGCAGCTGCAAACTTGTGTTCAGATATGCAGGGAGAATCCTAAAGAGGCTGGGATGATGCTGGTTGAAAATAAACAATATAGCACATGGATGCAGAAAGTCATTATCTTTAACTTTCTGTAAAAATATATACATATATATGTATATATAGTTTCAGACCGATGAAAACCCACAGGAAATATTGTGCATTTTGTGGCACACAAGAAGACTTGAACAACATTGAGGGAAGATACTGTAAAGTGTATTTGGATAATTAATGGCTTTATTAGTGTGTACTTTTCATAAAAATAACCTGTCCAATTTGAAGTGATCAATTCTGTAAGATTTGACATATATTTGTATTTGCGAAGCCCTCAGCACAATGGAGATAATGAACATAGCATCACACCAAATGTTTCCTCTTGTCCCTTTGTAATCCTTTGCTCAACCCTCTCCCACCCCCATTTCCAGGCAATGCTTCTGTCATGAATTAGTGCACATATTTTATAATTTTGCAATAAATGGAATCATATGTACTCTTTTGTCTGGCCTCTTCTCAACACAATTATTTTCAGATACTTCTTTGGTCACAATTATCAAGAGTTTGTTTCTTTCTGTTGTTGTGTAATATCCCATCATGTGCCTATAAAGCAATTTGTCTATTCACCTGCTGCTGACCATATCGATTAGTCCCAGTGGGGCTGTTACAAATAAAGCTACTGTGAACATTTGTGTATCAGTATGCTTTCATTTCTCTTGGATCCATATCTGGGAGTAGAATGGCTGGATCAATGATAGTTGTACATTTGATTTTGTTAAACCAGTTTGTTCTAGTAGCTGTTTTGTAGATTCCCTTGAGTTTTCTGCTCAATTATGCTGCTGTTAATAAAGATAAGTTCTTCCTTTCCACACTGTATGGTTTTTGTTTCTTCCATGTGCCTTATTGCATCTACTTCAATATTAAATACAAGTGAGAACCAAAATTCTTCCCTTACTTCCGAAATTAAGGAGAAAGCATTTAACTTTCTTTCAACACCAAGTATGACTTTTGATGTAGGTTTTTTGTGAGCCCTTTTTTTAAGGTGAGCAAATTCCCTTCAGTTCCACATTTGCTGGGAGTTTCTCTCAGGAATGGATCTGAATTTTGTCAAATGCTTTTTCTGTACCTATTGAGATACCCTCCTAAATTGCTCATCTGCTACTTGCCAATCTCTTTGGATACACTATTGGTAAATTGTACAACAAAATATTAAAGAAGATACCACTCTCCCACTTTACAAATAATGAAACAAATCTCAAAAGGATCAAAAAAGTTCATGGAAGAACTAATAGTTTAGAACACAGAGCTCGAAGCTAGCAATAGCCTCTTCCTTTTTTTTGCCACGATAGATTGTTGTCAGAGAAAATTTGAAAGAGAGACTAGAGGGTAGCAAATGACATCTTCCCAGGCCTTTGAAATTTTTTAAGATGCCCTTTAACAGGTTCTTTATTTATGCAAGTGGAACTAATAGGAATTAAATAATTGCAGGTTTGGCTCTTTTACCAAAAGAGGAAAGAAAATATATTATAATGGATGACCAAACTGCTATTCAGGAGCTGATCACTGGATAGCGGCTTCACCATTCCATTCTGAGCAATTATTAGACACCTGATTTAAGCAATGCACTGTAGCAAGAGTGACAAACTCTTCTAGGGTTTTGTGATTCACCGATATACTGGAGCTATTTTCATGACTAGTGATCAGTGTCTTTCTCTGTTCCTTGAAACTTCCTGGTGATAACGCAGTCTAGAGCATAGTTGCTCCAATTAACTACTATAAATGTTTCTTAAAAATTTTGAAATAGCCCTTCTCCGAGAGACTATGGCCCTCAACAAGAATCACTCGGAGGGCGGCGGAGTGATCCTCAACAACACCGAGAGCATCCTGATGACTTATGATCATGTGTAACTTACATTCAGGGACATGAAGAACGTGCCCGAGGCCTTCAAAGGGACCAAGAAAGGCACCGTCTACCTTACCCCGTACCGGGTCATCTTTCTGTCCAAAGGCAAGGATGCCATGCAGTCCTTCATGATGCCGTTTTATCTGATGAAGGACTGTGAGATCAAGCAGCCCGTGTTTGGAGCAAATTACATCAAAGGAACGGTGCAGGCTGAAGCAGGAGGTGGCTGCGAAGGCTCTGCGTCATACAAGTTGACCTTTACGGCAGGGGGCGCCATCGAGTTTGGACAGCGGATGCTACAGGCGGTATCTCAAGCCTCCCGAGGCAAAGCCCCCAGTGGAGCCTATGGGTATTCTCACATGCCCAGCGGGGCCTATGTCTTTCCCCCCGCCCGTCGCCAGTGGAATGTACCCCTGACCTCCTGGCTACCCCTATCCACCGCCCCCACCTGAGTTCTAACCAGGACCTCCCATGATGGACGGGGCCATGGGATATGTGCAGCCTCCACCACCACCCTACCCTGGGCCCTTGGAACCTCCAGTCAGTGGCCCTGATGTCCCCTCCACTCCTGCAGCTGGAGCCAAGGCTGCAGAAGCGGCGGCCAGCGCCTATTATAACCCGGGCAACCCACACAACGTCTACATGCCCACGAACCAGCCTCCGCCACCTCCTTACCACCCCCAGAAGATAAGAAGACCCAGTAGACCCCTCCTGCCCCTGCCTCCCATCCCTTGTCACTCTTCCCTTCCCTTCCCTTCCCCTTGGGGCTGAGGCTGGGGCTAGGGGGGTGATGGAAGGGCCTTGTTCTTCCTCCAGGTCTGATTATAAAACACTTCGCAGGGACTGGTGTTGAGGGAAGGGGGGGCCCTTGACTTGGGAGCTGTGCCTCCCCGCTTCTGAAGCTAGCTCGGAGCCCACGGCACCGGCTTGGATGCGCTTCCCTCTCACCGTGTCTGGGGCTCTGCTCAGGACCGTGGGCATCCATCTCGCTCCTGTCTTGCTCTAGTAGCTTCTGCCCATGGAAGGATTCTGGTCACCTCCTCTACCGCAGTCCAGCGCCCTCGTGTTGGAATCCACTTTATATTCAGCCTTGTGACCTCCCTCAGACCAGCCTCGCGTCTTCCTGAGGGCCCCCGCCGGGCCCCCCTCACATTCTCTCCACGCTGGTCTCTGCCTCCCCATGGAACGCCACCTTCTCACCGGACTGTCAGCCCACATTCCAATCCCAGCCAGCCTCCAGCCAGGTCACGCTCACCTTCGCCTCCCTGTCCTGTCCTTGGTCACCTGTTGCCACCACTTTGACTTTTGGAGCTTTAACTTGAGCTTCCAAGGGGTGGGCGGCACCGGGCTGGGCGGCTGCTTCCCTCCAGGTATTTTTGGCTTTTGTTTCCCTCTACCTTCTCTCCTTTCCCTCTAGAAGAGGCTTCTCAGACTGGAGAATGCATGTTCATTCCATCATGTCATTTGGGGTCTTCAGGGTGGGCTGGAACAGAGGCACCTGACCTGAGCCTGTGTGCTGACCATGACCTCTCACCAGCCCCTCACCCTGCCCCCTCCCTTTAAGCTTCATGCCTAATTGGTGATATGCCCCCTGGAGGCACTAAAATTTGCTCTCATTTGCTTCTCGACTGGCCGTGAAGTGAGGAGATGGTTATTTAAAGAGAATTCCCTATTTATTTGACAAAACAACAACAACAAAAAAAACCCAGTTAATGTATTAATGTGAAATAAACCCTGTTTGCACCTTGATTTGTTTGCTGAAAATGTGAAGTAGTAAAAATGAAGTGACTGGAAAAAAAAATTTTGAAATAGAATGGCCTTATGATCCAGCAATCCACATCTGGTATATACTCAAAAATGGAAAGAATTTAGCTAAATAGCCAGAATATTGAGATGTTTACGAATTCCTATTTCCACCAAATGGTGGAAGCAACCCAAAAGTCCATCAACAGATAAAAATGGATAAACAAAATGTAGTGTGACATACACTGGAATATTATTCAGCCTTAAAAAGAAAAGAAATTCTGTCACATACTGCAACAAGGAAGAACCCTGAGGACATTATGTTAAATGAAATGTCACAAAATGACCAATACTGCAGAATTCCACTTCTACGAGGTATCTAAAGTAGTCAAACTCATGGAAAGAGAAAGCGGAATGACAGTTTCCGGGGCCTGGAGGGATGGAGTAATGGAGAGTTATTGTTTAATGAGTACAAATATTCAGTTTTGCAAGATGAAAAGATTTCTAGAAATCAATGGTGTTGCTGGTTGAACAAAAATGTAAATGTATTTAATACTATTGATTTGTACAGTTAAAAATTGTTAAAATGGTAAATGGTAGGTTAAAATGATAAAAGTTTGTGATTAAAAAAATTTGAAGAGTTTCTTGTTAATATTTCTACTCTACACATCTGCCTTCAAGTCAAATATAAGACGTTGTTACAATGCAAGGTCAATTATCAACCATCCATTACCATCTGAATTTTAAGGCACTGCAGGAATAGGGTTAGAGATGGAAGGAGGAAAATGGAGAGAATGAGGATTTTGGAGGGAGGAACATTGATCAAAAAGGGGGGCTCAGAAGTGTGCAAAGTGAGCCACATGTTGGCAAAAAGTGCTTTTGAAGGAGTGTTGAAATGAAGGACAGGAACAGACAAAGGGGAAGATTCACACTCTGCTCCTTCACAGTGTCCCTGTAATTATGATGGTTTGTGGATAATACTGGTAAGCAGGTAAGCCTCCTGAATGCAAACTGAGCACTCCTCTGTTGGAGGTGTTAATAAGACGGAATGAACACAGAGCAGGCCCCTTAGGCCTCTTAGCGGGATAGCATATTGCTGGTTCTAAGAATCCTGATGAATAAGTAATATCATTGCTCCACTGCTGGGCTGCTTGTACCACAATAGACTATCACTCAGATCACTGGCGTCATATGTGCATTTCAGAATGACAGCCTCCTTCTCCTGCACTAACTTCGCTGGTTGGGCTTGAGTTACTTTCTGGGCAATACTGGATCCTGAAGGAAAAAACATGGGATTAAAGATGTCAAAATAAATGATGTGGCACAAAGAATTCTATTTTACACACTACTATCCCCCCTTCCCACAATACCCACAAGACACTGCCTATCTCCCCTGTTTTAGGTCATAGAGCGGGCACATTCCCACAGGGGCTTTCCCTACCTAGCCACATGGAAGCCATGACCACCTTCAGAAGCCTGGAGAGCAACATGTTTGAGTTCTCCCACTAGATGGAAAATGTTTTCTTCTTCTTCTTCTTCTTCTTCTTCTTCTTCTTCTTCTTCTTCTTCTTCTTCTTCAATATCAGGGATTGGCATTGTGAGGGGAGCCTGACAGGGTGAGGGAAGGATTGTTGGCCATATGCTGCTGTGGCCCCAGAACAGGGAACAGGGGTTTCCTGGTGTAGCAAGTTGTGTGGGTCATGTCATAGTTCTCTATGTCCCAGTGAGAGTCTCCCTACCCCAAAATCTTTTTGCATTATAAAACCATTAACTTGGAAACAATTACATCTGAAAATGAATATGTAAATTTTTATATTGAAATGAAGATTGATGGTTTAACCTACTATGATATGTACATTCATTGCATCTGTGATGCAAGTAGGTGGGTGGCACCTACATAAAAATACTTCATGTAATGGATTATGAAAACAACATAAGATTGGGCGCCTGGGTGGCTCAGATGGTTAAGCGTCTGCCTTCGGCTCAGGTCATGATCCCAGAGTCCTGGGATCGAGTCCCGCATCGGGCTCCCTGCTCCTTGGGAGCCTGCTTCTCCCTCTGCTTCTCTCTCTCTCTCTCCCTCTCTCTCTCCGTCTCTCATGAATAAATAAATAAAATCTTTAAAAAAAAAAAAAAAAAAAAACAACATAAGATTGAGAACCATGTATCTTCACACTATATATGCTGCTCTTTCACCTAAGGTAGAAATAAATCATATTGTGATAAGAAGACAAAGTGTTTAGACTAATCACAGTAGCTCTTCCAATGTACCTACTGCTGTGCCGGTGTTCCTCCTCACTACTCATATCTGTTCAGATGCCTGTGTTAGAGCCAAAGCAGAAAAATCTAATCACTCTTTGCTGAAGCATTCAGGCTACAGCCCTCCGAAAATAAATCCTGTCACCGAGGTCTCCTTCTCCTCACTGTTTCGTTTCCACAGTTCAGAAAAGCCAGAATAGACACCAGAGTTTAGTCATTAGGTTATCAATCCTTTAAATTTATATTTTGCCCTTACCTCAGTTGAACCACAGTAAGCTTCCATGCTTTGTATGCTCAGTTCTAAAGAGACTATACATCCCTTACACCTCCACAGCACTGTTGATCATACAATAATTGATTGTAATAAAACTTTCCCTGTGTATGTACATTAAAAGTGAGGTTGTGCCCCAAGGATATTCATCAACATCATTGAGAACAGCAAAGATCTACTGACTATCATTGTCTGTCTCTTGATACAGTAGCCAGGGCTTGTCATCCTTGTCTCAAAATCACTGTTGCCTCAGCTAAATTGGTTGAAGCATCTTCAGAATTTGTACTGCATTCTTCATAAAATATGATGGAACCACATACAGTACAAACTGGCCTACTCACTAAGGTATAGACTATAACTCTCTAAAAACATCCAACATTTTTCTACCAGCTGGACAAGTAAATGTGAAATATTATTCATTACTCCTCCCATTATTCAACTCTAATAGATTTCTCAATGAAGGGAATCTCATATTTGTCCTTTCTGTCATTCAAGAAGTGTCCATGTCCAAGACAGACCTTTTTAAACACTCTCAGACCAAATTCCCAGTTAATAGATTTTTAATAATCTTATCTTAAGTATTAAAAAAGACAATACCAGACTGCTCACGCAATTAGTACTCTGGACTTTTTTATAAAATCCAATCACTTACCAGAAGCAAAATTAATTCAAGTGGCTATATTAGTGGATATCTCTTGGGCACGTCAATTGACAAAAAATGATGTAGTCAGTGTCAGTCAATATATTTTTTTAATTTTATTTTATTATGTTATGTTAATCACCATACATTACATCATTAGTCCAGGCAGCAACCTCTTCGACCTCAGCTGCAGCAGCTTCTTCCTAGAAACATCGCCAAAGTCAATGTTTTTAAAGTAGTTCACAGGTACTAGTGCCTGGTGCATGTTAGCCTTATCCCTGGTGACTCTGCATCCTACACTCAAAAAGCCCTATGCTGTCTTACCATAAATTCCTCACTGTAGCCCACATCGCTCAGATGTCCCAACCCATACTTATTCCAGCATCACAAACTGAACTAGGTAAGAAAAACCTTGACACTTTCCTTTCATCCAGGCACAGATTGCTCTCCTGGCCTTTCATTTATTCACCTTTACAGGACCTTACCCTTTGGTGCTCTGAACAAAATCCCAGAAAAAGGTTGCCATTGAGACCTGTGAAATGACCTTTTAAGTGCTGTTTATTACGAGTTCAGCAAATAAAGTACAAGAAATGGATCCTTGGCTACATGTTTATGAACTAGTATGACATCATGCACCATTCGCTGACAAGAATTGAAAAAGTTACTCATAGTAGGGATCTTAAACTGATGTTCTCTAGAGAATCAGCAGAAGCAGACAGTCCACAGAAGAGTGCATATGAAAGATCCTAGAAATAAGCATGTAATTGCATGAAGCAGACAGATCCACCAAGGTCATTAGAAGAGAATTCTCTAGATGTTTGGAACCACCAGTTTTACTACTTTGCATTCTTTTGTGGTTATTTTTATTCATTTTAGAGGTATTTTTCCATTTTAGTGGTAAAGTATTACATATTTCTGATTATCTTGACTTTGTTCTCTTACTAATAAAATAACTTGCATGCGTATAGCCTTTATTTGAGACAATACCCACCCTAGTGCTATAGTTCAGCTCTGCACAGACATTGCTAGTATAACAAAGATTAAGAATTATTGCAGGGGCGCCTGGGTGGTGCAGTTAGTTAGGCGTTTGACCCTTGGTTTCAGTTCAGATCCTGATCTCAGGGTTCTGAGACTGAGGCCAGCATCCGGCTCCATGCCCAGCAAGCAGTTCACTTGAAAATCTCTCTCCCTCTTCTTATGCACCTCCTGCTTGTGCTCTCTCTCTCTCTCAAATCAATAAATAAATTTTTTAAAAAAAATAATTATTGGATATGTTATTTCATATCTACTCCTGGAAAAAAGAGGTAATAACCATACCCTAATTGGTACTGTTAGAGTGAATCTTCATCAATTAAATTACCCTTAAAATGTGAAAAAGTATCTATTGATAAAAATTTAGGATGGAGTTCGTACAACTAAACTTGTGTACAGAATGTGATTCAACTTGATTGTATGAGTTGATTCAAACTTCAACACCACCTCTGCATTATCAATTGCCAAATATATTTTGTAGAACTATAAATCAAGTCTCTAAAGAAATTCAAAACACTTGAAATGATGAGCTATTCCCATGAAAATAACTTCAAAGTTCAAAACCTCAGGGGTAGGAAACACTGAGAGTGGAGATAGAGGTGAGGTCATGCGTGTGCCCTGTGGCATGTGCTTCCACCCACCAAGACACATGGTTCTCAAAAGTTTATGGATTCTATGCTCCCATCAATATGACATTTTTAAAACACAAAAATAAGAATAGACCAATATTTGCAAGAAGTTGGGACTATGGAAGTGTGTGATAGCAAAAGAATAGCACAAGGGAGTTTGGGAGAGCAAAGAAACTATTCTGTACAGTGAGTGTATGAGGGTTAGATGATCTATACAATGCATTAAAATTCAAAATTCACAGAACTGTATATTAAAAATAATCAAATTTTCAATGTAATTATTTTAAAATAAAAAATTTAAACACTGAGACCAAAATGGCAAAAGAGGAGTTTACTAACATCTCACCCCCCCAAATAAAGACTGATTTTCAAAATCATACACTAAACTAAACTAAAAAGGGTGCCTATGATGAACTCCAACAGAGAAGACAGAGCTCACAGGAGAGCAAAAAAATCCGAGAGTGGACAGATTGAGAGGGTACAAACCACAATTTCATTTTAACTTCATCAGCCCTGCCCATTTGACACAGCTCCATGCCAAGAGAAACCTTCCAGCCTGAGATTTCCCCATAGAGAGAAGTGAGAACGTGTGAGTGATATCTGGCTACCCAAGCTCTGGAGGATGCTGCCAAAGAAAACCCTCTTTCTAGCCCCATCCAGAATACTGAGGTGTACTGCTCACTGGGGAGTGGGGTGCACCTAGCAGAACAGCACCCAGAGCTCTTGGAGGGCAGTAAACCAACAGGTATCCTACAAACCATGGCACAGCCTCCATTAAGAATCTGCCCATGAGCCGCTGGAGATGGCTTACCTGCAGACCTCCATAAATGGTCCATGGGCACACACAACACTCAGTCTGTCACCCATACATCATCCCACCCTGTGGCCTGCCACCAGCGCACACAGGGGGGCAACAAGAGTGAGCTTCTGTAAGCGGCTAGCGAGCATGTGCAGAAAGCAGCCCCACTCTGCCAGATTGGGAGAAATCACACATATGCAGTCAGCACCATCCTAGAGAAAGCAAACAAAAGGGAGACTCTCAGCACCCAGTCTGGCTTCACAGGATGAAGAGAAGGCCTTAAAGTTTGTACCACATTGTCCCAGGAAGTAGGAAACAAATACGCCAAGCATGATGAAGGTTGAAAGCCTGAATGTGTCTGGATCTGAGCTATGTACTCACCGCACACTCTGGCTAAAACACTTGTTTTCTTCCACTGCATCAGTTCTCACCTAAGTATGATCAAGCATTCAAACCTGTAGGTACTGCACCCTCTCTGCCACTTCTAACTTGATTTAAAAAGAAATAAACTAATAATACAGAAACATGCTTCCTTCTGATTCCATTATCAGGCCTGGAGGAATTGGACCAATCGAGAGTCACCTTCCTTCTACTGCACAGGAGCTGGAAATATAAAGAGGGAAAGAATCAAGCCCGTTGACATGTTGGGCTACAGTTCTAAGCTCCTTTGGTCAGATGTGAAAAACTGAATTTAATCTGAGGACTTTCCCAGTAAGAGAAAGCCAGTTACCAAATACCTAGCAATCATAACTCAGCTAAGAGGAAGCACTGTCACCGTAACAGTTGCCAATTATATCCATCGTTAGTTACGAAGACTTGGAGGGACCTTGAAAGGAGCCTATCCTTGAGCAGGGGTGGGAGAATGAGGGAATTAAATATTTACTCCATATTTTTCATTCCATTGATTTCTCTGCAGCACTAGAGAAATATTTTTTTTAAATAAAGTTTGTGGTTAGCAATGTTTAATTCAGTCAAACATGAACATGTGGAGGGAGGTTGGTAGCACATCATCTCTACATTAGCCATTAGTCCAAATGCCTTCATGCAATCTACTAATAATAGTAAGGTGGCTGATACATGCATATAAAAGTTTTCCCATATATCTCAGAAAGAAAGGTGTTCCTTATAATGATAACAAAAAGTTACAAGTGCAAGAATAAATTGAATAATCTTCTAACAGCAGAGCATCATTAAGAAAGAGAGACATTAAAATGGAAAGAAACAGTATGTTCTCAAACAATCAAATAATCACATACACACTTTAAGGACTTTTATTTTTCACAAATCAATTTATAAATCTAATTCAAACAGAAAGCTTAAATTAAAATTATGAGTCAGTAACAGAATTGTCCTTTCCTTCTCTCATTATCATCTACTGATAATGATGTGGAAAAGTTCTCCTAGGTACTGAAAATATAGAAATGAATGAAATACAAAATTCTGTCTCCTGAGTTGTATTAGAGAGTTATTATGAACAAATACTTACAGAATTTTGCAAATGAGAAAAGATTTCTGAGTTTTATCTGAAGCTCACATTGTCAAATCACTCCCTATCTAAATTCTCCTTAAACACACAAATAGTACTTCCCATCTGCGTGCTTGAAGGAAAATCTGGGGCACAATTTCTGAACAAGAAAGTAATCAAAGCACATAAAAATGGCGGTCAAGGGGTGCCTGGGTGGCTCAGTAAACTAGGCAGCTGACTTCAGGTCATGCCGTGATCCCAGGTTCCTGGGACCCTGCCCTCCAAGCTCAGAGGGGAATCTTCTTCTCCCTTTCCCTATGCCCCTCCTCCCACTCATGCTTGCACTCATTTTTCTCTCTCTCTCTCTCAAATAAAATCTTTGAAAAAAAGAAATGTCTGTCAAATTTTGCCCCAAATACAGAGGAACAAAATTAATTTGAAAGTGTAATTAATTAAAATATACCACAGGTCTATATTAAAACACATATTAAATGGAAACTTAAAAAAATAAATTTTTTAAAGCAGATGTTTGAGGGAAAGACTTGATAAAGTGGGGGAATGATCAAATCAAAATACATAAAGTGAAAAATCATGATCCAAATTATAATGAGAATTTTTAGCGTGAAAGGGATATTAGCAATATTATCTGATTACAGAACTATCACTTTCATGTTTGCATTTTCTGTATTTCTATATTAGGTATGTAATGTTTTAGAATCGAAAAATCATAAATGTTACTTTGAAACACAATACTTAAGTGCCTATCCATAGTAAGGACTGTATTGCTGGTACCTAGGGGTTATTTATAGAAGAGCGGTCTGAATAGCAAATGTAAAGTCATCTAAAAACCTGAATTTCAAAATAAAACATTACTAACTCCATTCAAGAACCCATTAAAAAACAGTCATCCAACAAAAGTTCTAAACCTGTCTGGGTCACTCCATCTTAATAGTTTTATTATATGCTTTTAATGTCTAATACATTAGCTTCCACCTACAGACAAACAACAGTACAAAAGCTATACTTGAAGGTCTGTGTCAAAGGACAGGGGGCTGCCCCACACCCAGGTTTGAGTGCAGGCAGCAGGTGCCTGGGAAGCAATGTGTGCTTGCTGCGCAGAAGTACACAGCTGAGTCTTCAGGCTGGGTGTCTGCGATGTGCAGGGAGAGATGTTTGGTCATCTTATTCAATAAAACAGTGAGTCTTTGGTCTTCTTTTTTGGCCGTGTTTGAACGAATGTCTATAAGGAGCTGGGGACCTTTTCCAAACTCTTGCTTATACCAAGGGAAGTACTCTGAGGCACTGTCTGAATAACTGCAGTTGATAACAGAGCTGCTTCCCTGCTGCACACTCAGGGTAGAAGGATGCTGCTCCACCTTCTCTCCTTGGCTGAACCCTGTGCCGAAAGAAAAGGTCAGAGAAAGGAGAAGAGATTCCAGGTTAGTCTGCTTCAGAATTCTCTTCTTCTACACTAACTGAAGGAAACCTGAATAAAGCCAGTCTTGACTTCTGAAGAATATCCACTAATATACTCTGGTTCCCATACTTGCTCAACTCACAGTTCAGCTGCAGCCATAAAAGCATGATTAAAGCTCCCATGGATGTCTTCATGGTTCCTCCCTTTAAGATCAGCTTCAGAATTGCACCTCCAGCCAGCTCAGCTCCTTCTCTTATCAGGCCGTCCCTTCTTTCCCCTAACAGAGTCCTTTCCCACATTGTCTACCAGCCAATAAGAAAAAGACTCTGCTTTTGCCATAGCCTAGTCAATCAGATGCACTAAAATGAACCCTCCACGTGTTCTGCATCAGCACAGGTGCACCACTGTCTTGTGGTCATGTCTCTACTGAACTCACTGGGGAAATGTTCTTCTCTTAGCCTGTGCCTCTGAGGGACTCAGATGCATCAAGGCAGCAATAGTCAAGCAAATTATATCTTAGATCAGGGATGAAGTGCACAGTGAGAATGTGGAGATCAAGAGTTACACCTCTGCACACTACTGAGTCACTATTTTAATTTGGAAAGAGGTTGATGCTATTGCTATTTATTCAGTGATGGCCCTGGGGTACATGTTTAAAATCAGGAAGGATTCAAGATTCAGTCTCTTAAACAAAGAAAATGTAAAACCTTCCCTTTCTGCCAAATCTACCGTCCTCATTTGCCTGTTATGGAGAAAAACTATTTGTAAAAGGAACATGGAAGCCAAGGATTAGAGTAAGAGAGAGAAGACCATATGATATTTCAAATGCCTCTTTTCTTAGACTCTGCTCCTCCTCTAGTCTTGCTCATGACCTTGTGATTCCCAGAGAGCTGACTGTACCAACAGTCAAAATGTTTAATCTTCCCTCAACTAAGATGACTATGACAAAAGTAAAAGTCCAAATCTTAATGATAAGGGAGCAGGAGAGTAACTTAAATCAGTTATTACTATTTCAACTATAGGAAACTTTTTGACCCAAGGTTTGAATAATTTGAATAGAGAAATCTGACATGATTTAAGAAATCTATCTGAATGCTGTATGTCTTATATAATGCAAAGTATTGAAAGACAGAGTGAAGAATTCTGAGAAAACATCAAGATGCAAACTCAGAAAATATAACCGTATGTAACTTTATACTTGAAGTGATTACATTTTCTCCAATCAAAATAGATGACACGTCTTCCAATGCAATTACTGACTCATAGCCTCAGGAGAATTTCCTCTAAAGTATTAGCCATCTATCCTATCATGCTTCCCACTTCCTGGCCAACACTGCTTCACATTCCATACTCCATCATATTTCACCTAAATGCTTCTACAGTGTTCTTTCCCCAAGACTCATTGATAAAGTTCTCCAGTCCTTGAGTTTCCAGAATTATCTCTTTCTGCCAAAACCCCTTTCACATTTACATTAATTTCTGGAAATTTCTGACGTCCTCTGTGAGAATAAATCCGGGGAAGGATAAATATTGTGTGTGCTCCAGGAATGGTACCAACAGGAAACTGGCCCTAAAGAACTGATTAGGAGAAATGGTTTCTTGGAACCAAGACTACCTCATTTCCAAAAGTGGAAGCCCCTTTCCTGTGATTCCTACTCATGGATGCTCTGAAATGACCAAGAATAAAACTCATCTTCCTTCCACCTCTCCCACCCTGAAAGATTTAAAGACAGCTATGGTGAAGAATATCAACTCAATATATAAATATATGCATATATATGAAATGTGTTTTTATGTATGGAAAACTTCTTGATTCAGAGAAATTTCCTTTCTCTCACCCATTCCCCATTAAATAAGAATCTCAAAATGTTCTTTCGGCAAATTTCCCTCCTATCCGAGATACATATTTAGATCAATATTTGCACTTTTGAGGTGTGACACTCAGAACGGAATGTAATGGACTGAATATGACCATTCATATGTATAATGCTCTTCCCTGCATTAAGTATTGCACAAATAAGGCCATCCCTTGAGCAAAATTCCCAGCTCTCTGATTATTTCATAGAATATTGTTGTACTTATGGTCAAAGTGTTGGCCTAGAAAAGCTTCATCTACCATCTTCATGGACTGCCAGCTGCAGGAATCTTCCAATTCCAATGATCTTTTTTGCACTATGTGTGAGTTATACTCATTATACTCAACCTGCCTTCAAGGGATGTCCACCTGGGATAAGAAATGTATTTGCTATTTTGGGGAAAGTCCTTAGAAATACATGTCAGTGTTCACATGGCACCATCACCTTTGGCTTTCTTCTACAGACACAGTGAGTGATGCATGAGTTTGCTGGTAGAATAACAGTGGCTCAACCTGAGTCGTCTTTCCTGCCCAAGGTCTCAGACATTTACACAAAGTGGAACTCTCCATTCAGGCATTCAAACTGATGGACCATGACTTTTTCAGACCCAAAGTGCGGAGATAAATGCTTGGGCTTGCATTAGACACTTTCTCTTTATTCAGCACGAAGGTCCTACAGCAAGGAGGCAGGGGAAAGAACGCTAAAGAGGAAGTGAGGAAACCCAGCGTCTTTCCCCTCCAGCTCATTCACTACCTAATTGTTCCAACTGTCACCTTGGAAACAGTCTCTCTTGTGTAAAATAAGTGGCTGGGCTTGCATTAGACATGTTCTCTTAACCAAGCAGGATAGTCATATAGCAAGGAGTGGAAAGAATGTCAATAAGGAAGTGAAGAAACCCACTTTCTTTCTCACCTCACTCATTCACTACTTAATTGTTTCTTACTGTTATCTTGGTTACAGTCTCTGATGTGTAAAATGAAGTTGGACTCAAGAATTTCTAAGGGTACCTCCAGCTCTAAATTTCTTTTGTACTATGCAACAAAGCAAACATTTATTGATGACTGGTTGTGTGCACTGTGGACAAGTGTCAGAGTGGGGTGAAACTGCCTGCATCACAGAACGCCAAGACTATTTTCACAGCTACATGTGATCTAGTGGGTCTGAGGATGATCTTAATCAATGGCTGAGGCCTCTTCAGAAGCAGAGATACAGTCCTCAGGATGAAATCTTATCAGGATTTTCATTTCTTCTATAAGATCAATAATGTATCAAGGAGAACTAAACCCATTAAAAATGTAATAAAATGGGATTTATTCACTGAGTGGCAAGTCCTTCACAGGCAGTGAGACCAGGCGGCTCCATGGCTGAACTATGGGTAAGCAGGATATTCTTCTGGAGATGTATTTCTTATATATATCTATTACATATAATTTATATATCCTACTGAAAAAAGAAGGACTCTCTGCAGTTGAGACAACCTAGGGGAGGTGAATGAGCTTACTGATACGGAAAGCAAGAAGCACTTTTTAAAACAGCCTAATTGCTTACTAGATTCTGGCTTTCTCCTTGAAACTTTACCGTGGAGTTTCAAAATTTCCAGCCACGGATATCTATACAATTTTTTAGTTCATTTCAAAATGAAAACTTGGGAACATCATTCAAAAAGCAGGGGAAAAGTGTCATTAGGTAACATTTCTAGGGGAATCATTTATCTAAAATGCTTTAACTCTTCATACATATTAGTTTCATTCTCTCAATTTAATTCTTCAAAGACTTTCTTCTTTTCAACCATCTCAACCAAGTTCAAAGAAAAATGAAGCCCATGTACTGAAGTATCCAGTGCACCTCCTGCCCCCACACAGGCATAGCCTCTCATATTGTCAACATCCCCCAGACACCTTTTACAGTGAAGGAGCCTATGCTGCCAGATCATATCACCCAAAGCCCACAGTTTATCTAGGGTTCACTCCTGCTGTTGAACATTCTATAGGTTTGAACAAAGTTAAGTATGTATCCACCATTATACTATCATAGAGACTAGGCTCACTACACTAAGTATTCTCTGTGCTCTTCATCAACTGCTCCTACTGCTCCCCTCAACACTTGGCAACCACAATCTTTTACTCCCTCCATAGTTTTGCCTTTTCCAGAACTTCATAGGATCTGAATCAAACCCTATGTAGCCTTTTCAGATTAGCTGTATTCATTTAGTAAAATGCATACAAGTTCCCCCACCTCTTCATCGCTTCATAGCTCATTTCTTTATAATACAAAATCATATTCCATTTTGGATGTACCACCATTTATTTGTTCATGCAACTTACATCAAGGTTTTGGCAATTATGAGTAAAACTGCTATAAAACACCTGTGTACAAGTCTGTGTGGCCATGGTTTTTTTTTATTATGTTATGTTAATCACCATACATTACATCATTAGTTTTTTTTTAAGATTTTTATTTATTTATTGAGAGAGAGAGAGAATGAGAGGAAGGAAGGTCAGAGGGAGAAGCAGACCCCCTGCTGAGCAGGGGACCCCCCCCCATGCGGGACTCGATCCCGGGACTCCAGGATCATGACCTGAGCCAAAGACAGTTGCTTAACCAACTGAGCCAGCCAGGCACCCAACATCATTAGTATTTGATGTAGTGTTCCATGATTCCTTGTTTGCATATAAGACCCAGTGCTCCATTCAGTACGTGCCCTTCTTAATACCTGTCATCAAGCTAACCCATCCCCCCACCCACCTCCCCTCTAGAACCCTGTTTCTCAGAGTCCATAGTCTCTCATGGTTCATCTCCCCCGCCGAATTCCCCCCCTTCATTTCTCCCTTCCTACTATCTACTATCTTCTTTTCTTTTAACATATAATGTATTATTTGTTTCAGAGGTACAGGTCTGTGATTCAACAGTCTTACACAATTCACAGCGCTCACCATAGCACATACCCTCCCCAATGTCCATCACCCAGCCACCCCATCCCTCCCACCCAACCCCCACTCCAGCAACCCTCAGTTTGTTTCCTGAGATTAAGAATCTGTGTGGACATAAGTTCTAAAACCTTTTGGGTAAATCCTCAGGAAGGCCATTGCTGGATCATACTGTAAAAGTATGTTTAGTTCTTTAAGAAACTGCCAAACTGGGGCACCTGGGTGGCTCAATCGTTAAGCGTCTGCCTTCAGCTCAGGTCATGATCCCAGGGTCCTGGGATCGAGCCCCGCATCGGGCTCCCTGCTCGGCAGGTAGCCTGCTTCTCCCTCTCCCGCTCCCCCTGCTTGTGTTCTCTCTCTCACTGTCTCTCTCTCTCTCTCTGTCGAATAAATAAATAAAATCTTTAAAAAAAAATAAACTGCCAAATTACTTTATTGAAATGTCTGTGTATACACTTTCAATTTGTAGTAATTTCCTGACAATATTTACTACACCCTTTGCTGCCTGTCAAAGCCCCAGCTAGTCCAAAGCAGGCACAGGAACCACAGGTGGCCCTGCCAACTGCTCAGCTCACAGCTGTGACCCAGAGCCGGAGCCTGCATGTGTCCCTGCCTGTGTCCTGCTGCCTCGCGTATCTCTCTGCTCAGGCACGTGCTCCTCCCAACTATGGGACTCACTTGTAAAAAACAAGTATAAAGATAAAATTAGTATTAATTTCAAGGCAGTGATAGCACAGCATTAAACCAAAGGCAGGGTTCCTTGGGAGAGCGGGGGGCTGTATAACTGCACAGGTCACATGCTCAAGAAGCTGGCTCTGCTCCCAGCTTCAGGGAGTCTGTGCATTTAGCTCCATCTGAATTTTCAGGGGCCCAGTCCTTCCTATCAATGCCTTTTCATCAAAATAAAAACCAGTGCAGGCTGGAATTCAATTTGTGCTGGAATCTTTCCATATGCAAATTTAAACTTTGGGTTTGAGGTCAGCTTTGTCTCTGGCTACAACAGAGATGGGGATCTTTTAGGGTAGTCCTGGAAGCTTTCTGCTCCCTTTCCCAAACTGGGAATAATGTTATAAAACTATGAGCAGTAGATTCATTCAAAATGCAAGGAAGAGCAATGATTTTCATGGAACAGAATGAGAATTTCCATGAGCTCTTCCACACAAGGTGCTATTTAGAAATGACTTAAATGGATACTCTGTCAGTGATACATGTCAACATATTGTACAAATTGATCAATAGAAATCATTCAGATTTTGTGATTTTATACAGTCTTCTACATCAGCTACTCAGAGGATAATCTCTTAGGTCATCTCAGATTCACTAACCTTGGAATAATATGAGCTCAACTGAGGCACTTATGCTCTAAAATCCTGATTTTTCTTGCATAAAATAAAAGTACTTATTTACAGGGTATTACCTTACTGAAATAAAAAATATATGTAATTGGATAAGTAGAGTACCTGACCCTCAATGAAATTATTTTATTATATTGGTATTTCCAAGAAGAAAAAGGTGAATACAGACTGGAAAAAACATTACACATGTTCTCATTACTATCCTTTGATAATAGAACCATCTACAGGTAACTAAGAAAGTTAGTCATCTCTTTCTATCTATTGATGACCATCTATTTTTTCAAGCCTTTTCCATTTGAGTAATTTACATATAATTTATACGCTAGCTCCCAGGACATGTTTTCCCAGGGCAATCAATATGGGCATTTCTATCACTTGCTCCAAAGGTTCCATGGTAGAGATTTTTACAGGCAAAGGGCTTTCTGGGAAGAAAAAGGGCAAGAAAACCAAGTGAAATGACTGTCCTGATGGATCTAATTTTGGAGGGAAAAAATTGCTGTAACATAAATCTGAAAGTCTGAAAATGTGCAAAGTTTCCTGTGGGGGCAAATGCCCTCCTCAGGGAAGGGCTGGGGCTGCAGGCCCAGCTGCAGTTTGGGTGCAGGCTGCAGATCACCAGGGAGCACTGTGCCTCCGCCGCACACAGGTAGGTGGCTGAGTCTTCCAGTTGGGAGGCCGTGATGTGGAGGGTGCTGGACCGTTCCCTAGTATTCACTGTGCAGTTTAACCTTCCACTCTGCTTCATCCCTGAAGTTATGTAAAACAGTGAGGTGAGGCCACCGTCCCCAAGATTCTGTCGGAACCACTGCACACTGTTCAATACGCTAGAAAAATTGCACCTCAGAGTAGAGCTGGCTCCCTCCTGGAGGCTCAGGGTTGAAGGGCTCTGCTCCACGTTCATCCCTCTCACCCCTGTTTGGAAAGGGAAAAACAAACACAAATGATATGACTGGGGAGTCACCGGTGCCATTTTCAAACCTGTAAAATATCCAAAGAAACACACTTGATGATGTAGGACCTTTTAAGAGTTATCTGTCAGCTCCCCCCCACCACCACTGTGGGCTGTGGACTCCATCTGAGGACCCACGGGGAATGCTCCACTCACAGCAAATCTGGACCCATAGAAGCCCCAGCAGAGCTCCCCAGTGTCTCTTCATGTTTCTTCTTTAGTGGCTAAATTACTAACACTCCTAACCTGCAGAGTGTAGAGTCATAGGTCCAGAGAAATTGTGTTCTTAACACTCAATCCCCTCCAACAGAACAACTAAGCACCAATCACACCTCAGCTCTGTCATTCACGAACTCAAGACTCCACCCACAGTGACCCAGGACAGTAATCTCTCCAAAAGTGTGTTTGCCAACAAGGCAGAGAGGTAGGTGCCATATTTCCAATATAGGGAGATATAAGAGATTTTTTCCTTAAAACACTTTATGTAAGATTTGTGGGTTAGCGTGTGAGGAAAGCTGAATGATCTTTCCAGAAGAGTCAGTGTCCTAAAGGAGGTTACACAGAACCTTCAAGAATCGTAGGAAAGAGACACTCCATTCCCCAAATTACATAGTTTGACAATGTGAGAATTATATAAAAATACTGATAAAGGAAAACTATCTGACAGCATGCATTGTGTATTGCAGAAGTAAATTCAATTTTTTGAAATTAGGAGAGCTCTAGAAACCAAGACAGGCAGTCACTATCTGCACAAAACATGATTCCAAGAATTTGGTTGGTGAAAAATACATGTCTGCATAATGTCCCCTCTGATTTAATTTCCACCTCTCCACCTCTCCTGTGCAACTCATGGACACCCTGCTTACCCACACAGCTGAGTCTGGCCATGCCACAAGTTGCTGGTCACAGTCAATATTGTTCTCCCTTTCCTTCTATTTTTGTTCCTTATTTTTTTTTCTTCTTGTTCCCTCCACTCTCAGCAGAGATATATGAAAACGTAGGATATCTGGGGTTCTGAAATAATTTCAAGGCCAGTAGGTTCGGGGGCTTTTATTCATAACAACTGAAACCAGGTAACGGGATGTTTTCTGTCTAGTTTCCATGGTCTCAATGCCCAAAAACATTCCTATACTGTTACCTGTGCTCCAAGAATTATCTGTATAATGGATTTCTAGAGACATGGCCTCCACATTTCTGGAGTTGATATGCAATGGCGGAACTGAAAACCTGAGATGAATTTTACACAAACCCTGTCCCCACTCTCTCCCCACCTTTGCTATCTATAATTGGACTGGCTCACATGATTTCGGTTCTCTAACTGTTCAACCTTGGACCATCAGGAAGCCTTTGTTTCTTGTAAAGCCTAGAGTGCCCCCTAGAGGACTGAAGCAAAGACCCTTTCAGACCAAGCAACTCAGCTGACATACAGATCCCCAGTCCTATTCATTCCAAGCTTCCTGATGAAGGAAATGCAGATGGTCAGAGAAGTAGATAACTGCTTAGATTGAATGGGGATTACAAGTGAACCTAATCCTACTTTTAAAATGGAATTTCTAGGAAAATTATATCAGAAAATAATTTGGTAGATCTCATCTTGTGATATTTATTTGATTTCTTTACTGCAGTTCAAAAGAAATTCATAAATATTCATTGAGCTTTTAGTTTCATTGGGGTAATTTACTAGATCTCAGAATATATAAAGAGTGATGGAATATTATTTAGCCATATAAAAGAATGAAATCTTGCCATTTGCAATAACATGGTCGGAGCTAGAGTATATAACAATGAGGGAAATAAGTCAGTCAGAGGAAGACAAGTACCATATGATTTCACTCATGTGGAATTTAAGAAACAAGCCAAACAAGAAAAAGGGGGAAAAATAAGACAGAGAGAGATAAATCAAGAAACGGACTCTTAATTAAACAGAACACACTGATGGTTACCAGAGGGAGAGGGCTGGGGATTGGTTAAACAGGTGAAGAGATGGAGAAGTGCCCTTGTCCTGATGAGCACCGGGTGATCTGTGGAAGTGTGGAAAGAAAACAGCCAAGAAAGGTGAGCAGATAGGATGGTATTTTCCTGCTGCATCTGTGTGCAAAGACTAAAGCCCCCTCCTCACCTGCTAAACCCACCACACCCACCAGAGAGATCCCAAGGAATGTCAGTTCTGCTGAAGAAGAAGTCAAAGCTGTCTGAGAGAACACCTAGCTAGCAAACTAAGGGAACTCCTGCAGAGGGAAGATCTAAGAAAAGAAAGACAGTAGAAAAAGGAACAGAAAAGAGAAGAAAACTGGGACAGATGAAATAACAAGAAGAAATTAAGGTTTACAGAAAAGGATGAGAGTAAAATTAAGCAAATTCCACATCTTGATAGAACACAGGATAAAACAAGTGTGAATAACAGCTTCTACAGTTTCATCAGTGGTCCCTCAAATCTCCATTCTTTCACAATTGGGAATGCTTTAAGAACTATTGAAAGCATACATTTCTAATTCCTCTAAAAACACATTAAGAGAAGTTGAGAAAACATCATCAAAATTGTGTATAATAATTCTCTGCACAAGAAATCAAGTGCAAATTTGAATCATGGGAGACCAACTGTCTTGTTTATGAACATCACATTTATTTACTAGGAGGGTCAATTTTGGTATCCTATTAAATGAAATGTATCACAATAAAAGCAATCTTGGAGTCATACCCACACATATAAATATCTTAAACATTTTAACAGTCTATCTTTCATATGCATGCTTTAGTGCACTGTTTCATAAATAAAAGTGTTCCTTTCTCTTAGATATCCCCCTAGGAATTATGAATAAGGTCTAATATCCTAACAAAAGACCCCGAATAAATAACCTAACTTACAGCTCAAGGAACTGGGAAAAGAATAAAGTAAGTTCCAAGTCTACAGAAGGAAGGAAATAACAAAGATTACAGCAGAAATAGCAAAACAATAGAAAAAGTCACAAACTAAGAGACTTTTTTTTTGTTTAAAGAAAGAGAGTACATGCAAACTGGGGGGGGAGAGGGAGAGAGAGAATATTAAGCAGGCTCCACACTCAGTCCAGAGCCTGACATGGGGCTCAGTCTCACAACCTTGAGATTATGACCTGAGCCAAGATCAAGAGTCAGAGTCTTAACCCAATGAGCCACCCAGGAACCCCTAAAAGTTACTTTTTTGAAAAGAAAACATAGAAGTTCCACAATATTGGTTTTGGCAATAATCAATGACATGACATCAAAAGCAAAGGGAACAGAAACAAAAACTAACAAGGGGGACTGCATCAAACTAAAAAGCTCAGTACAACAAAGGAAACAATCAGCAGCATCAAAAGTCATCCTACAGAGCGGGAGAAAATATTTGCAAACCACATATGTGATAAAGGGCTAATATCCAAACTATAAAAGGAACTCCTATAATAATAGTTTTAAAAAATACTAATAAGCCAATTAAAAATGGTCTAAGGACTAGAATAGACATTTCTGCAAAGAAGATACTCAAATGGCCAATAAGTATGTGAGAAAATAATCAATGTCACTGATCATCAGGAAAATAAAAATCAAAGCTCCAATGAACTCTCAGCTCACACAGTCATGCACTTATGTGAAAATGGGCCATCCCATTATATATTTCAGTATTTAAAATGTTGGTACTAGCTACAACCTAAAGGTAGCAGAAAAAAGCACATACTTTAAACATGGGTAATTTTTTAGTTCCTTTTAATGATAACTATCTTAATGCATTTGCCACTACATTTACAATAAATTCTTTGATATCATTTACATGTTGTACATTAAAAAAATGATGGCTATTATCAAAAACACAAAATGCAGGTGTTGTCTAGGATGTGAAGAGATTGGAACACTTGAATGCTGTTGGTGGGAATGCACAGTGCTATAACCATGGAAAACAATATAGAGGTTTTTCAAAAGTTTAAAACAGAACTACCATATGATCCAGTAATCCCACTCCTAGATATATAGCAATAAGAATTGAAATCAGGGGATGCCTGGGTGACTCAATCAGTAAAGTGTCTGCCTTCTACTCGGGTCATGATCCCAGGGTCCCTACTCAGTGGGGACCCTGCTTCTCCCTCTGCCTGCTGCTCCCCCTGCTTATGCTTTCTCCTTCTCTCTCTGACAAATAAATAAATAAATAAATAATATAAAATCTTTAAAAAAAGAATTGAAATCAGGATCTCAGAGATATTAAGCACTCCTATGTTCATTGCAGCACTATTCACAATAGCCAAGATGGGGAAACAACTTGAATGTCCAACAACAGATGAATGGATAAAGAAAGTGTGCTATATACATAAGTGGAGTACTATTCAGCCTTAAAAAGAAAAAAAGAAAAGAAAATCCTACAATATGCAATCACATGGATGAATTCTTGAGGACATTATGCTAACTGAAATAAGCCAGTCACAATAAGACAGATAATGCATGATTCCACTCTAATGTGGTATCTAAAATATTCAAATTCATAGAATCAAAGAGTGAATCAAAGTAGAGGTTGCCATGGACTCTGGGGACAGGGTAAGGGGGAGTTACTAATCCAGCCAGGTGAAAGAATAGAGAGTTGCTGTACAACGTTTTACCCATAGCCAACAATCATGTATCATACACTTAAAATTTTAAGAGGCTCTATCTCATGGTAAGTGTTCTTCACACAATAAAAATTACATTAAAAAAAATAAGACAGCACAGTCTCACCTCTTAGAATGGCCAAAATCCAAAACACTAACACCACCAACTGCTGGTGTCAAAAACTCAGAAATAGCCCAGGTCAACCCAATGAATTTCACCAAAGTAGTAATTAGTAAAAGTGTCATGTGCACATTTGAAAAGACAGTTCATGAAGTGGGAACACTCAAATCAAAACATGGAATGAGGCTCAGGGGTATATTGCTAGAAAGCAGTTTATAGAGTGAGGAGACTGGGAGTGTCTACTCTTCACAGTGATTGGTTATAATATTAGAATTGCTGTAAATGATATCAGAAATTGCTCAGTAGGTATCTAATATCAAACTTGGGGAACAGTTCAAGTTTCACTTATGATTTCCAAAGGCACAGCAAAAAATGATGCAGGAGAAGTTAGTCTTGCAAAATAAATTAAATTAAGCTTTATTTGAAAGACTAAATTGGTTTTGAAAGTGATCTTTGCCCAGGGAATTTTCAAGGCTGATCTGTTTGCTTTTTATTTAA